AACTGATTACAAGTATCTACATATAATCCCCTCCCTGGGGGACGGACAACAGAAAGGTGGGTGAAGGGAGATATTGGACAGTGTAAGACATGACAAAATAATAATAATTTATAAATTATCAAGGGTTCTTGAGGAAGGGGATCCGGGGAGGGAGGGGAAAAGTGAGGAGCTGAAACTAGGGGTTTAAGTAGAAAGGAAATGTTTTGAGAACGATGATGGCAACAAATGTACAAACGTTCTTGACACAATGGATGTATGGATTGTGATAAGGGGTGTACAAGACCCCAAATAAACGATAAAAAAGAAGCCAACAAGGAGAACACATTGCTCTGCCAACGCCTTGAAGTCATACTTTTAGCCTCCAGGATTGTGAGACACTAGCTACTGTTCTTAAAGTCGTCCACTTGGTGGTGTTTCTCCAGGACAGACCCATGGAGCTAACATTGTTATTGATAGTGAGGACCAGCAGCCCATGCTTCACTGTCGTTATTCTGCTGTTGCGTTGGTTTGCCAGCCAGTGTTTTATTTAGAATTGTTTACACAGATGTAATGGACCATGGACTATCAAAGAACAAACCTCTACTTTGGTAGAAGTACAGCCAGAATGTTCTGTAGAGGCAAGTCTGACAGGGCTTTGTTTCATGTACTTTGGACATGTTGTCAGGAGAGACCAGTTCTTGAAAAGGGTTTCATGCTTGGTCATGTAGAAGGACAGCGAAAAAGAGGAAGACCTTTGACAAGCTAGATCGACACAGGGCTGCCACAATGGGCTCAAGCATACGAACTATCACGAGGATGACAGTGTCTCCCTCTGTCGTACCTCGGGTTGCTAAGGGGCTGTTGTACGTAGGGACGCCATGAGACTCGATGGGACCTACCAAGAACAGCACCTCTACATTCCCCAGGGAAATTACTCTGGACTTTTCTAATGGTTCTTTTTATCTGAAATACCTCAGAAACTTTCATGCACATCTATTTTCACAACTGACTGCTTCATTGCTTCAAATCTGGCAGTTCATCTGCCTGCTAGGTGGTAAGCAGATTGAGGCCAGGTGGTTTTTCTTCTACACCTCTCCATTCAGACAGGACACAGAGAGGGGCTCTGTCTATCTTTATTGGGTAGATTATGAATATGGAGTGAAATATCTCAGAACCCTAAAAAGGGTAGAAGAACAGGAGCCCAGTTTTTCAGCCCAAGGGGCCCTGCAGCCCTTACCCAGGTCTTCATTTCCATCGCCTGGTATAAGAGGATTGTAGCAAGGGCGATGGTGTTGATGGGGATCCCAAAGGTGAAGACGTCAATGTCAGAGTCCTTGTAGGTCTGCAGAGAGGAGCAAATAGGCAGTGTCACTATTCCCACGGAAGAACAAGGTTTGGCGTTCACAGATGGGGATAGAGCATCAAGGAAGGCAGGGGTGAAAGGAGGGGGAGGGGAAAGGTGCGAAGATAGTACTCAGCTTCCATCCTGGTAGAAGTGACTGAAGGAAGAGACTTAGGATAAGCAGTGGGTTGAAAGGGCTAAATTATTTAGGAATGTGATTGCCAGAGGAAGCCACAGATGGGTGCTCCCCAAACACTGGGGACTAAATGAGCGAAGAAGTTACTGAGCACCAGGCACTGTGCTAATTGCTGACGAAATGTCCATGTTAATCTTCAAGGAGTTTACAGTCTGTTAGTCCAGACTGATGCGGTGCAACCAAGGCGGTAAGGATGACAAGAGAGGGGGGTAAGAAGGCAAACAGAAGCACAGAAGAGGAGCATCTCAGGGGAGACTAGACAAGGACGGTGTCAATCAGCCCAAAAGGGAGAGAAAAGGCATTCCAAGGGACCGCCAGAATCGAAGGTGAGTGTGTTGGGTTTGTGGGCCTCTAGATGATCTTGTATGGGAGGTCTGGAGCAAAAGAAGAATAAAAGGTGAAGCAGCAACATTTAAAGAAGAGCCCTGGTCCAGAAGGATATTGTAAACCAGGAACAAGCACATGATGCTTGCCTTTCCCCACCGCCCAGCTTGTTGCTAAGTGGAAAAGAGTACACGTGCAGAGGTTTGTAGCTGGGGGCAACTACTCCTATTCTGGTGCCCTGGCAGCGGGAGACAAGGATCCTCTCACGATCTAAATGCTTGCCATTCAGACCGGGGACCAAATTGAGTTGGAGGTGATGTCCCCTGCTAGCCGCATTCTTATTGTTCATTTCAGATCATAAAGGATCCCTTTGAGCAGAACCTGCCACCTGCATCCTTGCGGCTTTGATTTCGGAAGCCCAGATCTGTATACGAGTCAAGGTCTGCAAACCCAGAGACTTTCAGTGGGAGAGCGGGACACAGCTTCGGAGTTGACGGCAGGGGCGATGGTGCCTTGGGCAAAGTGGACAGCATGGGCCCTCTACCAGCACAGCTGCAAGTCAGATCTAGCTCGCTGCCACGAGGGACGAATGACTCAGTGTAAACCTATCTTTCCATTTTCAAGTTCTGCCAGAAACTAAGATTTCTGGGTAAAGTGTTTTGACTTTACCCAGGTATGGTCTGCCCACATGCTCTGCTCAGAAAGACACTAGCAGTCCAATATTGCCTATTAACAGGATAGGTTCCACCCCGGGAATGACTTACCAGGTACGGGATAAAGAAGCAGACGAGACTCTGGTAGAACGCATCTACCATGGAGATCCAGAAAGTCGACAGGCTGTAGCACTACCCAGAAAGAAAGGTTAACAGTGATCACCAACAGAGCAAGCCTCCACTCTTGCATGGAACTTTCTCGTATGTGTCCGACGCTATGGCATGTAAAATGCATCTTTAGAAAACACTTTTTGTGATTTAGATGAAGGTTTATGCACCAGATCATGAGTTTTACATTCAGCAATTCATCTGCGTTTTGAACAATGCCTCTTATCTTAGAGGCAAGGAGGCTGGAATGATTAAGAGCAGACTTCAGTTTAAGGCTCAGCTCCATTCATCTGTGATCTTGTTAAAAAACAAAACAAAACACAAACACTAAACTACTCTGAGAGAGTTGGTTTCTTCTCTAAATGTGGGCAAAAGAATATCACTTTGTCCCTTAAGCTTCAAGAAGGAGGTCTGATGACAGTGGTTACAGCCCATGGTGCCATCCAAAAGGTCAGAAGTCCAATCCACTAGCTGCTCCGCCGGAGCAAGAGGTGGCCGTCTGGTCTGTGAAGACCGCAGCCGGCTAGCTCTGTTCTATTCTGCAGGGTTGCTACAGCAGAGTCAACTTGAGAGTGGTAGGTTTGGTCTAGACATTTAGAGAACTGGTGTGACTGTACTTTATAACCTCTAAGTGCTCCGTTATGAATTCACATTAACACTGTTTTGAGCACTACTGTACACGTGGCAAGTTTAGAGATTCTCCTGAGTTCTCAATGGCAACTACAAGGAAGCTGTAAATTATAGGCTGGGGCCACCAGTGCCCCAGAGGCAGAGCCCCAGGGCTTCAGAGACAAGCCAACTCATTTTATGCTTCCTTCTCTGGGAAAAGGGAAACCACTTACAGTTTGCGTTTTTTTGCCACATTAACTTCCTGTAATGTTAGACACTCAAGTACATTCTGCAGCCAGTACGTTCCTGGGAAGGGAAACAGTCAGAGCCCAAGAAGTCTGTGTGCTCCTGTACCTCTTTATTTGACCAAACAACGTGGGTTGCCGTGTTGCTTTTTCAGCCAGCCTTTGGTTAGCACTAGACTCAGCCCTTAGTTGGCTGTCCTCCAAACTCACTAACTCCCATACACCTCCTCTGACTTTCCCCTCCTCTCCCCACATTTAAAGATACTCTCAGCCCCCTTTCCTGGTGCAGTCGGCTCCACTGTCCGTCTTTTCTGCCCAGTCCCCTTGTTTCTGCCCGAGCACCTCCGGCTACAGTCGAAGCACTTGCGTATGAGTGTCTTCGCCTGGGTTTGCGTCCTGGGTGATGATGCACATGGCTAACGTGCTTGGCTGCTAACTGACCAGTTGGAAGTTCTAGTCCATTTAGAGGCCTCTTGGAAGAAAGATCTGGGAATCTTCTTCTGAAAAATCAGCTGTTGGAAATCCAGGGTAGAGCACAGTTGCACCCTGACACACATGGGGTTGCCAGGAGTCCGTGTGTTGACTGGTGTGGTTAATCAGTGGTAACCAGTGGTGAGGACAGTGGCAGCTGGTCCCAGGGGTTCACTCACTGGGACCTAGGGGCTCTGGAGATATGCCTCACAACCTAGAGGGAAGGGCCGGCTGAGGGGACTGGGATCCTCCTGCATGTTCTCCCAGCCCTCTCAACAAGAGCAGCCCCACATTAGTGTGTGGTGTAATTCCATAGACAGAACCACCGGCCTGGTCCAACACCCTCAACACAACAGGTCATGAAAGGGAAGAGAGTCCTTCAAAGTTGAATGGGAGTAAAGGAACAGTGGGAGCTTCTACCCCCCCACCCCCCACCCCACTGCCCCAGCCCAGTCCAAGGCTTTTTCCTGAGACTTCCAGGAAGGAGGGGAGGTCAGGGAGATGCCCCCTCACCCTTACCTCAGAGTTCTGGCCGCTCTTGTATAGCTCGGGCAACGCCAGGAGTGTCTCTGCAGAGACGTCCTTATCCAGGACTCCAAAGAGGAGCGGAGGCAAGGAGGTGAAGAAGAGATTGAAGAAGATCATCTGCCAGTAATCGATCATGGTGGAGGCCGAGAAGCCGCAGAAGAACTGATACCAGAAGAGCAGGTTGACGTAGCACTGTGGGCAGAGAGCGGCCAGGCACACCTCAGTCACTGCCCAGACGCTCAGGCAAGCCAGCCAATGCTCGCAGTGCCAGTTTCCTCATCAGGAACCCGCGGGGCTGTCCTCACTCCACTGCCCACTGTAAGCTGCTCTGCGGTTCCTGCTGCTCCCCCACCTCCCATCCTCCCAATGTTCTTCCGGACCCGAAAGAACTCCACGAACTTGTTAAGGAAAACTTGATGAGGTTAAGCACACAGGCCCAGGAAGCCACGAGGCCTGGCTTTGAAGCCCCATTCTGTCGCGTACTCACAGTGCGACCTTGTGAGAATTGCCAAGCCTTCTGAGTGTCATTTTGGCCATCTCTCTGGTGGACACAGCAGTGCCTGGCACGTGATGAATGAATGAATGGCAGTAGTGATTACTGGTCATGACACAGAGGACCAAACTGTCGTGAGAAAACCTGGCAGGAAGAGTCCCTCTCCCGAGGTTCACCGCCCAGTACTTTGCTAATGGCCAGGTGCCTCAGAAAGAGACCACCAGGTTGCCTGCGGACAGGCTGCTTTATGCTGCAGGAAGTTCTTTCTACTCAAGTTCTCACCACCGGTAAGATGGCCTGCTTTACTAGTATTGTAGCGTAATGTAATGTGGATTGGCGTCTTGTCCAAGGTCACATATACAGTTAGTGTAGCTTTGCTGTCTGTAGCTGGGCACAGACAGGTGGAGGGTCTCGCAAAGATTCTTTCAGTAGCTTTGTTTTCACGGTAGAAGTTTGTTTGCTAATGGCTGGGCCAGTGCTATTTTGAAGAGGCTGTCTGTGATTATTACTATTCATATTACATTGCTTCTAGTATTCTTTCAAGCCATAGCTTAAATGGTGTTTTCTTCTTGATTGATTAGGTGAAGGGTCTCCATTGCACCTGACCTTCCTTGGTGGGGGTGCTCAGTAGGAAATGCTTTTCTTTTCCCTTAGAGGGGAGTGCTTGTGAAAAGGAGCTTAGGTGGCATGGGGGGCGGGGATGTTAAGTGTTGAGCTGCTAACTACAAGGATAAAGCCATCAGTTGCCCCAAGGAAGACAGACGAGGCTGCCTATTCCTGTAGGGCTGTACAGCCTCAGATACCCGAGGGAGCAGTCTGATTCCATCCTACAGGGTTGCCCATGAGTTGGATTTAATGCCAAGGCAGTGGGTTTGTTTTTTTGTTTTTTAGTGCTTGTTAAACTTTAAGGTGTATATAAAACACCTGTGTATCTTGTTTTTAAAAAATTCAGATTCTGATTTAGGCCTAAGGCAGGTCCTGAGAATCTGTATTCCTAAGACGCTTCTGGGTGATGCCAGTCCTGCTGGTCTAAGACTCACAATTTTAGCAGCAAGATTCACCTGGACCTGGAGCTGACAAACTATGGTCTGCAGGCCAAATCAAGTTGTAAACCCAGTTTAGTTGAAATACAACCACATGAGTTTGTTTACATGTTTTCTGTGCCTATCACTATAATGGGAGAATGGAGTTGTTTGCAAAATTGGAAATATTTATTAGCTGGCCCTTCCCACAAAATGTTTGCTGAGTCCTGATTTAGGCTATATGTTTCATGAGGCCAGGGACCACATCTATCTTGATCCCTGCTCTACCCAATACCTAGTATTCTTCCATCCCTTGGTTGAGCACCACCATTTGCACAACCAACATCGGTGACACAGTGGCAGAAAGGCCTGTTCCCAGCTTCCATCAAGATTACAGCTTAATCCCCTGTTCTGCACTGTAATTCATGGGCTGCCAGGAATTAGAATCTACAGGATTGGCAACTGGCTTGATTTTGGGATACTTTGTATCTTTCCATGATGCAAAGCAGATATTCAAAACAGGAAGATTATGTGCTCCTTCTTTAGGTGGGGAAGGATCCTGCTTGTTTCCCTACATCCCAGTCTGACTCTACCACCTTAGAATCATCTATTCATTTCTTGGCAGAGCACACACAGCTACCTTGCTGATGGTAAGATTGACCCTCCATGGTATGTAGTTGTTACTTCACGTTGGGCACTGTTTTCAGGAGTCCAGGTGGTCCGTGGCTGCTAACTGAAAGGTCTGCGGCAGAAGGACGTGCCAGTCTTTCCAGGAAGATGACAGCCCTGGAGACCCTCTGGTCCAGTCCTGCTGTTTCACGGGGACACCCCGAATGGAGATAGACTCATGGCGTCAGGTTAGGCTCTGTTTAGCGGGAGTCTTTGCGCCTCAGAGGGAGCACGTGGCTCCCAGTGATGGCATCGCTGAGATCGGATGCCTGCTCTCCCTTCCAAGAAGCTCCAGCGCAGTAATTAATTCATTGTTCAAATTTCAGAGCAGGCAGGTCTTTAATCCCCTCTGAAATTGGTTTCAGATGTAGAAGTCATAGTTCTCCACCCTCTAATTGCAAAGGGGAGATAATGCTGCATCAGGATCACAATTTCGAGCACAGCATTGGGTTGGAAATAAATATCATTTAATCTTTGAAAGCATGGCTGGCTGGAAGCGTTTCCTTTTCTATTTCACAAATTTAATGCAGAGAAGAGGTTGTGCTTATTCAAAAGAATAATTCCTTTGGAGACCACAAAAAAAATTAAACAGAGCATTCTGAATTCTAAGTAAACAGTCTTTTATACTCAGAGTGGATTTCAAATCAAATGGAGTGACTTGTTTGCATAGACTTGCTGAAATAATATTACCATCCAGTTTATCTAATTTACATTATATTTTTGTCATGCTGTTGATTTACATACACATTGAACTTTGCACAGAAAGACTCATTCCTGAGTGAGGGAGGCGGGGACAGAGCCAGAAAGGAGGCTGGGGTGGGGGTGGGGGCCGGGTGAGGGAAGAGCAATGTAACTCTGGAGCTATTTGGCTAATGTGTTTCTTTTCCATCACCCTGGCTTTAATCCTCCCTTTTCCCTCATGCAAACAGGAAGCAGACTGTATTTGGGGGCTGCTGGAGATTATTCAAAGGCCCTTGAACTAGATATTGGAAAGCTCAGGTAGTTGCCCCCTCCCCAGATACATCAGTGTCCTTATATCCATTGGTAATCAAGGGCATTTCAAATAAGAGCCCCTCGCAGTTTTCAGCCCTCACTGGATAGAGGTGCCTGCTTTAGGCTCTTACAACAAGGCAGAGCCCAACATAGTTGTAGAAGACACATCAATAATATCTTCACATACTTCTTTCTAGTGACGAAAGCCTCTGGATTGTACTTCCAGTGACAAAGTCAGTCAGAGCCTGCCCATCTTATCGATGAGGCTCTGGAGCTCAGAGAGGTGACCTCTCCAAGGTCACACAGATGCTATAGACAGGTGAGAACAGAGCCCAGTTGTTTTCTCTACATAAAAACCTGAAACATTTTTAATAGACCACTTAGTATCCTGCCCCACTGAGCTCCCTGTAGGCACTAAGTGAATCACAGGCTGTCAGATTGAAGCTTGGGGCTCCAGGCCCACGTTCTGTGAGCAGCTTTTACTTTTATTTTCTTAAACAGTGGGGTGCACCAGCCCTTGCTTGGGATAGCTCTCTTCTGGGAGAAAATCTAAGCTACACGTCAGGCCAGTTGTTCTCCAAATGCTTCCTCCTTGCAATCAAAAATAAATCTCATTTAAGGAGACTCTCCAAGAGTAGTGCCTGCAATGATGATAAAAATAATGCGCAACCCCCTTGGGTGATGATTACATGCTGGTCACTTAATACGTGGCTTCTCATCGAATCCTCATGGCAAATATATGAGGAAGGCTCTATGACCGTGGCTGTCTTACAGATGAGGAAACCGAGGCTTGAGGAAGCTACTGAAAATGTGACTCCAGAATTGAACTGAATATACTCCCTGCCTGTGTCCATTCTTCTGACCTCTCATGCTACCTCCTACATGCCAGGAGCTATTTTTCTGGTGCTGCCAATCCTCACCGTAACTTCACAAAACATTTTATCGAAGAGAAGCTAAGCCCAGAGAATTGTGTTGCTGGAGGTCCCAGCGCTAATAAGTGCAGTTTCAGTCTCAAAATCCAGGCCAGCCTGACTCATGCGTTTATGCTGACACACCACTGTCCACGGCTGTGGGGGAGGGGGCCCACTGCAAGGACTCCCAGCCCCGGGTGGGAGGGGGGGCTCCTTAGAGCTGCTCACCACGTTTTTGTAGAAATAGTACACCACCATACGGGCCAGGCGGGAGTAACACCAGTGGCCGTGCACAAGCAGCAGCTTCTTGAGGTGCTTGAATCGAGAGATGGCGAAATCACTGGACATGACGGCCTGAGAGAGGAAACGGACATCAGTATCCATCCGCTGCCGCTGTTTTCCCCGAGCTCTCACGGTGAGCTATTTATTGTTTTTGCAATATGAAAATAACAGTGTTTTAACGTTTGAAATTAAACTACTAATCACACCTCTTGATTATGCACTCCTGAGGCCAAGTGTTATTCACTGGTTTGAACTGGCAGGGTCTGAAACACTCCTTGCTGTGTGGTCAGACAAGGGAGGAGCTCCGATCTCCCTTGGACTCTGGGAGTCCAAGCCCTTTCTCCCTGGAAATCCAGGACTCACTAGAGTCCAAGAAGGGCAGGTCAGAACGGACAACTGGTCTATCTGACCCACTCTGGCCCTTCATTGCTATCCACTTATCCATTGAGTGAAACCTACTATGTGCCAGTACTAATCTAGTGGTGCAGTGGTTAATTAGATTTTGATTTTTTAACAGTTTTATTTGGCATGTAATTGACACATCATACAATTCAACAGTTCAAGCATATTAAAGAGTCGTACAATCATCACAATCAATTTTAGAACATTGTCTTCTTTTTTGTGCTCATTGTTATTCACTCCCCATCTCCCCCCATCCCCTGCCATGCCCCCGAGAAATCATTAATCCAATTACTGTGTCTATGGCTTTACCTGTCCTGGATTTCATATACAGTAAAGCATTACCCGCCCCGCCCCAAACAAACTCAACAACAATAACAAAGTAAAACAGAGAAAAACGTCAATAAATAAGAAAGCAGAAACCATTCAACAGTAGTCCAAAGGGAGATCAAATGAGAAGGTGTTGCATTTGAACCTAACTGCATCTGCAATCATCCATTTAGAGAGTTGAGCTTTTTTTCCCAATTACTATTTTCAGTTATTATTTATTAACTTATTGGAAACAGAATAGTTTGTAGCTTACCACATATACAAAAACAAACTCAAGGAAAATCGAAGATCTAAATGTAAAACTCAGAACTATAAAAATCATTAATGGGGAAAAAAATAGGAACAAAGCTGGAGAGGCCCAATACACGGCATAAGTTTGCTAACTGAAAACCCACAACTGCGGAATATTAATTAGACAACTCTCCGAGAACACCAAACTCACTGCCACGGAGTTGCTGGTGACTCACAGCGACTCCATGAGCGCCCCCTGCAGGCTTCTGAGGTTGTACACGAAAAAAATTTTTATTGGGGGCTCTTAGATCTCTTATCACATCAACACATTCCTAGCAGGAGCTTTTCATCACGTAATCTTCAAGTCCCTGACACCTTTCACCTCCAGAGGCATGCCACTCCTGGCAGTGTCAAAGAAAACTCTCCTTGTCTGTGGAGTGGAGATGTGTCTTCTGCCTTTGGTATTACTGAGAACAGGCAGAAAATTTAAACACTGTTTATATTGTGGTTCAGACATATGTGCCTATATGTATGTACATACACACACAAGGGGGCTACAAAAAATTCATGGAAAATGGAATTAACAGTGAAATTACCACAAAGTTTTATTATTTTTTTTAATTTTAATTTTTTGTTGTTGTGAACACATCATTTTATTGGGGGCTTTTTCAGCACTTATCACAATCCATACATCTATTGTATCAAGCACATTTATACATAGGTTGCCATCATCATTTTCAAAACATTTTCTTTCAACTTGAGCCCTTGGTATCAGCTCCTCTTCCCCCTCCCACCCTTGTGAACGAATGATAATTTATAAATTATTTTTATGTTCATATTTTGTACTGTCCATGCCTCCCTTCACCCACATTTCTGTTGCTCACCCCCCAGGGGGGTGTTATACGTTGATCATTTCGATTGGTTCCCCCTTTCTCCCTCTTCTTCCCCCACCTTCCCCCTACCCTCATGGTATCACTACTCTGATTATTGGTCCTGAGGGGTTCATCTGTCCTGGATTCTGTGTGTCCAGAGCTCTTATCTCTACCAGTATACATTTCACAAACTTTTAAAACCCCCTTTGTGAATGTATATTACATATTCAAGGAGGTCCCCCCCCCAAACCCAGTGCTCATCTGCTTTTTTGATGTGAGGGAGATAGTATATTTGAAATTTGTTCCACTAGGTCAAACTGTTAATTAAGCTTTCTATGTAGAGGTTCTGAAAAGAGCATAATAGTGTGAGACAAAAAAGATCTTATTTGGGAAAGGGGCATGTCTGATCAGAGGATACAGGAGCGAACAAAGACAGAATGGAACACATCCTGGCCCACCAAGCCCTGAGGATGATATTCCTGCGCAGAGCAGCCAATGCACAGAGATGACCATAGACACAGCATCCCTCACTGACCTATAGTGCTACCTGGGACAACATTGGAGGCACAGTGCAGGAATTGTGCCTGATCTGACTCCACAACACTGGGGTGAAAAGCTAAGGGAGTGCAACAGAGCAGCAAGGGAAGCAAACTCCCTGGGGAATACCAGAAATAGATGCTGGGACCAGGGCATGGCACCCCATCAGACTCAACCAAAAACACTCCTAATGGTCAACAAATGAACTATTTATAGGATCTTCCTGTTTTGACACTGGTTTGTTCTTGTTGTTTTGTTTTCTTTTGCTGTTTTGTTTTGTTCTGTCTTGTTTCTGTGCTTATTATTGTCTCTGCGTGTCTATCTATATAAGATAGGTGATATCTATATAACATAGGTGAGGTAAACAATCTGGAGGAGAAAACAACAGACCAATGGTTCTTGGGGAACACCGGAGAGGGGGTGGTGGGGGAAAGGAAAGGGGGGTGTCAACAAACCCAGGGACAAGGGAACAACAAGTGATCTAAAATCGATGGCGAGGAGGGTGTAGGATGCCTGGTAGGGCTTGATCAAGGACAATGTAGCTGAGAGGAACTATTAAAACCTGAATGAATGCAGAACATGATAGGGGGAGAAGAGGAAATAGAGGAAAGAACTAGGAGGCAAAGGACATTTATAGAGGTCTAAATAAAGGCATGTATACATGTAAATATATTCATATGTAACTATAGGGATATAGGTCTATGTACATATATTTATATGTTATGTATTAAGGTAGCAGATGGACATTGGGCCTCAACTAAATACTCCCTCAACACAAGAGCACTTTGTTCTAATAACCCGGCATTCTGTGATGCTCACCTTTCCAACACAATAGCTGAAGACAAAATGGGTGCATAAGCAAATGTGGTGAAGAAAGCTGATGGTGTCCTGCCATTAAAGGACATAGTGTCCGGGGTCTTAAAGGCTTGAAGATAAACAAGTGGCCATCTAGCTGAGAAGCAACAAAGCCCACATGGAAGAAGCACACCAGCCTGTGTGATCATGAGGTGTCGGTGGGATCAGGTATCAGGCATCAAAGACCCAGAACAAAAAATCATATCAATGTGAAGAAGGGGAGGGTGGAGTGGAGACCCAATGCCCATCTGTAGACAACTGGACACCCCCTTATAGAAGGGTCACAAAGAAGAGATGAGCCAGTCAGGGTGCAGTATAGTACTGATGAAACATACAACTTTCCTCTAGTTCTTTAATGCTTCCTTCCACCCCCAGTATCATGACCCCGATTCTACCTTACAAATCCAGCTAGACCAGAACATGTACACTGGTACAGATAAGAGCTGGAAACACAGGGAATCCAGGACAAATTAACCCCCTCAGGACCAGTAAGATGAGTAGTGATACCAAGAGGGTAAGGGGAATGTGGGGGGAGAAAGAGGGAACTGATCACAATGATATACATATAATCCCTTTCTAGGGAGATAGACAACAGAAAAATGGGTGAAGGGAGACAGTGGATGGTGTAAGACATGAACTTTTTAAAATAAATTATCAAGGGTTCATGAGGGAGGGAGGGTGTGGAGGGAGGAAAAAATGAATGAGGACCTGATACCAAGGGCTCAAGTAGAAATAAAATGTTTTGAAAAGGATGATGACCACATGTGTACAAAGGTGCTTGACACAATGGATGTATGGATTGTGATAAGAGCTGTAGGAGCCACCAATAAAATGATTTCTAAAAAAAAGATGAAGAAAAAAACAAGGGAGGTGCTGTCAGCCATCCAAACAGATTAGTTTGAAAATGTTTTCAAGAATGAAATTGCAGAGTTGACAAATGTATTAAGTGTAATGAAGAGTACTGTGAAGGTGATAAGGTTGTTTTGTAAAAAAATGTAAGTACATAGCTTTGAAAGAAAAATTTGTTTTTTTTGGTACCCTCTTGTAACTGTATTTATAATAAAATTCACAATTGTAAGTATACAATTAAGTGAAATTGATTATATTCATAATGTTGTCCAACTACCACCTCTGTATAATGTCACAAAATTTTCATCACCCCAAACAAACATTCAGTACTCATTAGTGATGATTCCTCATCCCCCAGCCCCCGTAATACTCTTGTAAGGGTATGAGGTTTGGAGTCAGACATGTCTGGGTAGAAATCCTTGAGTCAGTATTGGTCAAGTTAATTGATTTCTTTGAGCCTCACTTTTTCTATCTGAAAAATAAGTTAAAATGTGTTGATTATTACAGTGAACCGAGAATCATGGTTGATTGCAATATTATTCATAATACTCAAAAAGCAGAAACAATACAAGTCTCCATCGACTGATATAACCGAAGACTCACTGCCAGCAGGTTGATGCTGATTCATGGTGACCTTATAGGGCTGGACAGCACTGCCCCTCTGGGTTTCGGAGACTATAGTTCCTCACAAGAATGGAAAGCCTTTTTCTCACAAGGAGTGGCTAGTGGTTTTGAACTGCTGAACTTGTGGTTAGCAGCACAACTCGTAACTCAGCAAAATGTGGTCTATCCATATAATATTCATATATAAAGAGAAATGAAACTTGGATACCTGATAACATATGGATGTACCTTGAAAATATTATGCTGAATGAAATAATCTAATCTTCAAAGCACAACTATTGTATGATCCAGTTTAGATGGAATATTTGAAGAGCTTACATGAATAGAGACATACGTTTACTAGTGATGACCAGGTGCTGAGAGGAGTTGAGAATG